TTGTAATATGTATACCATTTGTCTGCATAAATGAAAATGAAAAGATATCTGAGAGATGGTGCAGTTTTCCCTCTTGAGATCAATAAAAAAAATATAGAACCATTACTAGTACTTATTCTGAATAAGAATTTAAAAACAGATTAACTTTGTTTGTGACTCCTTCCTGCCCCTCATGCTTCCTCTTTACGGAACTGTCAAACCGTTTGTGATACTACTGTATCTTCATCCAAAGAAAATTAAAACACTAATCCAAAAAGTTAAAGGTACTGCTATGTTTATCACAGCATTATTTATAATAGCCAAAATATGACAGCAATCCAGCGTCCATTGGTAGGTGAATGGATAAAGAAGATGTACAATAGATAGACAGATCTTTATATATAATGGAATATTACACAGCCATAAAAAAGATGATATCTTGCCACTTGTGACCACATGGATGGACCTAGAGGGTATTATGCTAAGTGAAGTAAGTCAGACTGAGAAAGACAAATACCATATGATTTCACTTACATGTGGAATCTAAAAAAACAGAACAAAAGACTAAATGAAAAACAGAAGCAGAATTATAAATACAGAGAACAAACGGATGGTTGCCAGATGAGAGGAGTGTGGAAAGATGAGCAAAATGGGTGAAGGAGAGTAGCAGATACAGGTTTCCACTGTGAAATGAATAAGCAACAGGAATAAAAGGTGCAATATAGGGAATATAGGCAATGGCACTGCAATAGCTTTGTCTAGTGACAGATGGCAGGTATCCTTATGGAGAGCATAGCATAACACAGAGTTGAATCATTATGTTGTATGCCTGAAATTAATATGATATTGTGTGCCAATTATATTCAAATTTATAAAAATTGAAAAAAAAAAAAAACTCACAACCTAACCATGATAATAACTGATTCTCAAGTCTTTTCAGGTCTAATGGAAGAGGCAACCACATTTTAAGGAAAATCCTGACATATGTCAGGAACCTAACATCTTCATTAGGAAGGCAGATATTTTCTCAGTGGATTTGGAATGAGGTCTCTCTGGTAGTAATGTTCTCTTGACCCTAAAGTTTAAGTGAAAGGAAGGATGCTAAAAAAAAAAAAAAAAAAAAAAGAGGGCAGCCCTGGTGGCACAGCGGTTTGGCGCAGCCTGCAGCCCAGGGCGTGATCTTGGAGACCCTGAATCGAGTCCCACGTCAGGCTCTCTGCATGGAGCCTGCTTCTCCCTCTGCCTGTGTCTCTGCTTCTCTCTCTCTCTCTGTGTGTCTCTATGAATAAATAATAAAAAAATCTTAAAAAAAAAAAAAAAAAGAGGGATCCCTGGGTGGCGCAGTGGTTTGGCGCCTGCCTTTGGCCCAGGGCACGATCCTGGAGACCCGGGATCGAATCCCACGTCGGGCTCCCAGTGCATGGAGCCTGCTTCTCCCTCTGCCTGTGTCTCTGCCTCTCTCTCTCTCTGTGTGTGACTATCATAAATAAATAAAAATTAAAAAAAAAAAAGAAAGGAAGGATGCTCACAAGCGTTGGGAGAACTCATAACAAATGAATAAGAGTCCAATGCAGCTTATATCTGCAGTTGGTGGTCGGAATCTGCCCAGAAGTTTTGCCTACTCTTTATCTCCATGCAAATACATCCCTGCTACTAGAGTCTTCACTGCACTAAAAAGTGAAAAACAGAAATTGTAACTAGAGTTTGAAATTTATATCTGAATTGCTCTTCAAGTAATTAGAAAAAGTTACAGCATACTCATAAATGTCTACCAGTCTCAACACAATCTTCTAAAACAGTATTATTGTATCTTTGTTAACAGAATGGGAACTTCTGGTGGTCTTAACTGGTATCTTTACAAATGAGAAAAACAGTAACGAAATTAATATTTAGAAATTGAAAAGTTAGCAATTGAATAGTAATAGAAAAACTTCATAATTGTTCAAATACAGCCAGATCTATTTGTTTACCATAGCCCATGGCTGCTTTCACTCTACAACAACAGAGAGAAGTAGCTGCCACAGAGACCAGGTAGCTTGCAACGTCTATAATGTTCACTCTCTAGTTCTTTACAGAAAAAGTTAGCTGACCTTTGCTTTGGAATTCAAACATTAATTTGTATATATGTTAGGAAAATAACATATTTGTCCAGTTAAAGAATTTTTTAATATTTGTGGCATATTAGCTGTTCATCTTTTTCAATATAATTTTTTTAAAGTTGCTTTAAAACTTAGAAAATTATCATATTCCCAAAATAATACTTAGTTTTCTATTTTTTAGTGTAATTTCTGTGTTTTGCTGCATAATACATCTGGAAATTATTCTGGACTGATTTTATATTTTTTATAAAAAAACATAAGCTTTTAAGTGGAATTGCAAATATAGACATACAATAACATTATTCAGGAGGAAATTATTTTTGGTTCCTTACTTCCAACACAATTCCTGATAACTAATTTATTCCTTATTACTATACTTATTACTATACTTACCTACACAAATAAATGTCAGAATATTCAAAATCCTAAGTAAAACTTATAGAAAAGAATGCAGTGTTAATTTATATAAAACCCAGCAGTTTTAGTATCTCAAAATTACATTTTCCCATAGGGTTAATTCTGATTACAAAAAAAATTGGAAAATTCATTTATTTAAAATATTTGGCCTAATAGTAAAATAAATTATCTAAAACATTTCTAAGTTTATAACTATGATAAAAGAGTCAAGTACTTCTGTCTTCCTTCCCCAAAAAATAATACTATACAAATATAAGTTAGGTTAATAACTACTTTGTTATTATCAACTGCTTATCATTATTTGCAACAAGCATGAAGGATAGAAATTCACTAAGGAATATATTTATCTTGTCACTTGTCACTTGTTAGGGAGTGAGTGACTTCAGACTTATAGTACACACTTAACAGTAAAGAAAGAGGATAGAGTTCTTAAGTTTGAAAAACTTCAGCAAGATAGAACCACATATGTAGCTTAAGTCATCCTTGGTATTAAGAATTATTATTATTATTATTATTATTATTATTATTATTATTACTATGGCCCACAGTCAAAGTCTACTCTACTATTCTGAATAGAATATCACTTGGGAAAGTACACAACAGGTGCATTTCATCCTGTACCATAACTTTCCAAGTCCCAGCAATTATTATATGCTACCATCTATAAAATCTTTGGCAGAAGTGTTTATTCAATAATTGGCAGGTTATAAATGTTACTTAATTCAGAGAAATCAAATTGTAATTTATTTTTTAAATCAACTCATATTTTTCAGGATCAGGATCTATGTTAGTAGGGAATAGAAGAATTTTAGCGAAGGAATGATACTGCTGGTGATTATTTCTTCAAAAACATTTTTAATTGTTTTCTGAACTCAGAAGTTTGGGGTGAACTTCTCATTCCGGCCCTTGAACCTCAAAAGCAGGTTGACACTTGCTCTTTGTTTACCTCTATTTAATTTTTAAAGCACCTTTATTTTCATGCATTGCATTTTTCTTAATGATGTTTAAAAGGTGAAAATATAACTGAAAAATATGGAAGGAATTATTAACTAACATTTGAAAGAATGGTTTCTAAATTAATTTTAACATCTTCATAGAAACTAGCTTTTAAACAAGGCATTCACTTCTTAGGGAATATATTTACATGCTGCAATTAAGCAAGCATATAGAGTTAATAAAGTCACCAAAAAAGTTGACCGTTTTTTGCCACCTCAGTTCAGAAATTGCACTAGAAGCAGCCACTTAGAAATCCGTAGTGACTCCTGGTGGGTGTGGGTAATTTAAACCACAACCCAGAAGGAGAAACCTCAGCTGCGTGGTTGTTAGGGCAGGTGCTCTTCCCCACCCCCACCCCCTACCCTCAGGGGTCTGCCTGCCTCCCCACCTTGCTGTTGATTCTCCTGAATTCCATTCTCATTCCCTAAAGCACTGTCCTCTTTCTCACTACAGGGCTGACAAAATTTCTTTTCACTTCTGCTAACTGCAAACACTGCCTCTGCACGTTGTTTTTATTGATAAGTTCTTAGTTTCTGTTTCAGTTTCGCTGGGGCCTGACAGAATGTCAGTGCTGGGGAATTATGAGATTCATTGAAGTCAGGGTAACAGCCAGAGAGCACCTCAGAATCCGCACCTACTTGTTCTCACCCCTGGAAATAGCAGGTTCCACATACCGAATGGGGTACAACCCCTTTGTTTCTTTTACTCAGAAATCCTACATATCATAGTCTCATGGTTTCACTCTGAAATAAATAACTTGCAATAAGACCAAATTCCTGGGTCTGACAGATCAAAGATAAACTCTATTCTCCAGCAAATTTGAAAACCAAAATATCTCAGAAAGAGATTTTTGGCCCTGTCCACCAAAAATCACAATAGGCCTTTGTAACCATTTTAAAGAACATATCATGACTATGAATTATTAAAACCTGAAAGCCAACTTAAATATTTGATTGCTCAACTTTTAAGCCTCTGCACATATTAGCATCATAATTAGAATGGTATTTAAAGGCCTTTTCACTGAAGTTGGTCAAATATTAGAAGTAAAATGCCTTTATAGGCTGCAACTGGGATTCAAAGTTAGCATGTGCTTAAAAAAATGCCCTGTGACCTAATGGAAAATGAACTATATGTGAATATATAAATAGGCAGAAGAATCTGACAGCCTGAATGTAAGTGAATCTCTGCAGTATGGCTGTAAGTCATCCTATAATAAGATATATGTTCAGCTTTGCGCAAAATTTCACATTAAAAAGACAGCATCACCGCTTATTCCCAAATGTCAATTCACAGCTAAAGCCAACTCAGGAGGTACAAACATGTGACACTGCATGGCACGGAAAGGAGACAACAGCATGCCACCGAACCGGAGGCAGCTGGGTATTTTGATCACATTGGTTTTATTCTGTCAACTTCCTTCCAGGAAGCTTAGAGGTGGACCAATGAGCTCCACTGTTGATTGTTATGCCACCATCCTCCCCTCCTTCTCGTTTGTGGCTCAGAACTTACCCACACCCCAAGTTCTTTGGTGTCCTCGCTGTTACAGCCATAGTAGTCTGGGGTTTTATCCAATTCCTGCATGTGTCCTTGTGCTCTTACACTCTTATCCGCATGACAAGATGGGCAGAGAGCTGCATTACCCATCTCAGTTCTACAGTTCCCGCTGTCACTGGGCCTGTGCTTGCCCTCTGTGCTCTGTCCGGGGCTCCCAGGGGGACACTACTGTGGACAATTCATCCAGGCGATCCTTGGCTCCTCTGCTCGATTCCCCTACACGCCCCTCATGGCTTGCTGGTGTCAGAGAGAACTCAAAACCCCAGCAACTGCAGGCTGCATTTGGTGACCATTTCCAATTCAGGCTCTGCCGGTCTATTTTTACACCTACCAGGCCAGCTATGCATGTCAATGGAGTGAGGGGGGTGAGCTGAGACCGAGCAGGGGAGGGGGTGGTGGTGTTTTGTTTTTCACCATGAGAGCAGCCAACTCTACACATGGACTTAAGTTCCTGCTGAGTAAAATATCTCTACATAGAGAATTTTTGCATTACTCAGTGAATGCCTTTGAATCCTTTGACATTCCCCCTCTGTTTCTACTCACACAGAACACCAAATCTGCTAATGATCTCGCTTTACCAGCATAATAGGCAGAAGTTATTTGCGTAATTGTTTAAACCAAGAGGCATCCACTCAGCTTACATACATCATCTTTTTCATGATCATTTACAGAAAACAACTGGCCATCCTTTCAGCATTTAAAATTCATCAGAAACACATCCATCAAAATGGCTCATTTTACAATGGTAGGGATGTTCCGAATTTTACAAAGTATCTACACTTTTCCTTTATTCATGATCGTGCCACAGTAGAGCAAACATTTTTGCCTTACTTATAGTTCTTTTTAATTTTTAATATTTTAAAAATGTTTCCCCCAGCTTTACAAAAAATAATTGAGAATGGCTTTCAAAAACATCCATAGTATCTCTGAAACCATACTACAGATTTTTGAAAGTTGTTTCGCACTGAGATAAGCACAGCAAATGCACCATAGATTTATGAACCCAATTATGATAAACATCAAAACTTTTAGACTATTATTGAATAAATTTCATTTCCTCCATTAAAGTTTCCTCCAAAACTTTATGTATATAATATTTTACTATTAGTCCTATCCTTCCTCATTTGATACTTGCTTTCTCTTTTCATATCTTCAAAATAGGCTTGAAACTACTCAATGGCAGGATGAAGTTAGATTTTTGTATCACCTACCCACATTGTATATTAAGTATTAAATGTTAAAGAAATCTACTGAATTGAAAGCAACCACTTGGGGAAAAAATGATATGAAAGATATTAAGAAATTAACTACAGTTTATTGATAGAATAAAACTCATCTTTCTGACTTGCCATTTTTTAAACTAAAAATGCCAGTCATTATAATTATTTATTTAAATTAAAAACAGCATTTCTGGGCAGCCCCGGTGGCTCAGCGGTTTAGCGCCGCCTTCAGCCCAGGGCGTGATCCTGGAGTCTGGGGATTGAGTCCCGCTTCGGGCTCCCTGCGTGGAGCCTGCTTCTCCCTCTGCCTGTGTCTCTGCCTCTCTCTCTCTCTCCCTCTCTGAATAATAATAAATCTTTAAAACAAAAACAGTATTCTAGAAATAGTCTATCACTCTATATTGCTGTTCAAACCCTTACAAGCTTAAATCCAAGAATGGCAGTTTTGGATGGTTGATTCTTATAACCCCATGCTGGGATATGTTTTGTTTTGTTTTGTTTTGTTTTGTTCTGTTTCATCAATCTTGTTTGAATAGCTCTTTATCCCATAATTTATGAACCTAGATTATATTATTTATTAGAAAGATCCTTAACCTTACATTCCAATTTCTGAGAGGCACCATCAATATTCAGTGAAATCTTTTTTATCTTTCAGCTATAGGTGATGACATATTTTAAAAGCTTTTTTTAATTTATTGACTGACCCACTAATATTATGATAAAAAGGGGGGCATAATTTCTCCATTCATGTGAAAGACCGGTGTAATCTAAACATTCTAAATGTTAAAGGATTAATGAGGATTAAGGAGTGCACTTGTGATGAACACCGGTGATGTATGAAAGTGCGGAATCACTATATTGCACACCTGAAACTAATATATACTGTAGGTTAACCAACTGGAATTTAAATAAAAACGTAGAAAAAAACTAGAGGAAAATATTAAAGCTTTAGGTAAAAGTGTTCATAAAAATCAAACTTTAATATTAGTAACAAGATCAGACTGGTAGCTGAGATGCACCAAGCAAAACCTTTTGTGTTGCTCAAATTATTTTTATAAAGACTAATGATTTATCATAACATGGTCATTTCTCATCAAATGTTACACATACTTGAACGATATACCGTAGAAATTAAGTAAGCAATGTTGTATAATAATGAGTTTGCAAACTCTTCCAAAAAGATGTGTTTTACAATTTTCCTATCTTCTGTCTAAAGTTCTTCACACTTTTAGTGCCGCACAAAGTCTTATAACAGATGCTTCATCTTGGGTATACATCAACTATTTTATTCAGAATGTAAGCCAAGATTTTACTAGCTGTTAAAAGTACACTTTCCTCTGTCTCCTGGAATCAGTTAGTTGACTACTTTTAAAACATAAAAATTTAATATTCAACAATCTTTTTTTTTTAAAGATTTAATTTATTTATTCATGAGAGACACAGGCAGAGGGAGAAGTAGGCTCCATGCAGGGAGCCCAGTGTGGGACTCAGTCCCGGGTCTCCAGGATCAGGCCCTGGGCTGAAGGTGGCGCTAAACCGCTGAGCCACCCAGGCTGCCCAATATTCAACAATCTTTTAACACAGAACCATGCAACTTAAAGCCTGGAAGCAAATCCTAAAAATTCTTTCTGGCTTCATTCCTTCATTCTAGAGTTGAGATGTGAATCCCTGCACTTACACATGTTAAAGGAATACTTACCTACTCCAGCTTAGGAAAAGATGTCCCTAGGTGCTCAATAAATAATTGTGCCATGCTCTAATAGCATGAATCGGTTCCTGGAATCTTTCTGTCTAATTAATACATTACCTATTCTACCGCTATGCCTTCAATTTTGCTTCTCCCTCAGCCAAACTTGCATCCCTCTTTCTTCACCAGTCTCTGTTCATTGGCTCTTTCAAAGGTCACCTTAAAATTCACTTTCCCCTAAAAGTCTTAATTATACCCATGTTAGTCCTTTAACTTGTTCTATCTTTTTTTTTTTTTGTTCTATCTTTTTGAATAAAGGTGGGACCACTATCAGCTATTTGCTCTTTTTACAGAATATGGCTTGCCTCTCACTGACCTTCTCACAGATGTAAAATACACACAGTAGTTTAAATGTTTGCTAAGTAAATGAATAAAAGGCAGCATATATCAGAATACAACTGATAACATCAATATTTAACTGCACTACACTGACCTTTTTACACATTAACATAACAAATTTAATACTTTTAAACATTTTTACACATGACAAATCTTTAATTTCATTTCCACATTTACAAGAAACACTCTTATTAGTCTTTGAAAAAATATTTACATTGTTTGGGGTGAATTTTCCTGGAAAAGAATTTGTAGTGCTTTGTTCCAAAAGAAAAAAAAAATGTTTATAAAGTACACTGAGAACATAAACCAAAAAAGAAATATGTTGACAACACTTATACTCTTTTTTTTTTTTAATTTTTTTTTATTTATTTATGATAGACACAGAGAGAGAGAGAGGCAGAGACACAGGCAGAGGGAGAAGCAGGCTCCATGCACCGGGAGCCCGATGTGGGATTCGATCCCTGGTCTCCAGGATCGCGCCCTGGGCCAAAGGCAGGCGCCAAACCGCTGCGCCACCCAGGGATCCCCACTTATACTCTTTTTAAATGACTATTACTTTTCTACCCTTCTCTCCTCTCTTCATCAGAGGGAAATCTTCTCATTCTTTCTCTAATAGAAAAAAGTCCTACTTACTGAATACAGTAACATCCATGCTTTTTATCATTAGAGCTGCCCAAAATATGCTTCACGGTGGTACCAAAATCTCACGACTAAAGTTTAGTGCCTAAACAAGTATGGGCAAAAGAAAGGCAAATATACACTGCTAGTGCTCCTATGATTGCTAAAATTTCCTATTTTCTGGCAAAACAGATTTAAATTATCAATCTGGAAGATATAGCTGTGAAAACAGAACTTTCAATGAACAGCTTCATACGTGATCACTCCAGACTTTGCCAATTCTGCTTTCTGTATAATCAAAAAAAGGGTGAGGACTTTGCAAAAAAAGAGCATTACTTCAGAGGTTAAAATTTTGCTAGTTCTAGGGGCATCTGGGTGGCTCAGTTGGTTGAGCGTCCAACTCTTGGTTTTGGCTCAGGTCATGATCTCATGGGTCAAGATATCAAGCCCCTCATCGGCTCTGCACTCAGTGGGAAGTCTGCCTGAAAACTCTCTCTCCTGCCCCATCCCCCCCTCATGCATTTGCACACAGTCTCTCAAATAAATAAGTCTCTAAAAACAATATATTGCTAGTTCTATTTCCAAGTGGTTAACTTAAGTCAGACTTGTCACGAAAGTTTGGATGATATGATGACCTATATATCTAACATTTTGCCAACTAGAAGGTAAGGTTAGCGAATACTGTGTAATACTCATGCCTTAATAATGCACTCGTAGACTGTTAGGATCTCTGTGGACATGTGACAAGGGATATGCTTTCTGCCAGGGCAGAACAATGTCACCACTGTTTCTCAAAAATGCTTCAAAGTCATTAGGGCAAATTACTCAGAAAGCAAATATTTGCATGTTTGGCCACACTTAGAGCAGGATACTTGAATTTGGTGCATGATTTAGAATGTGAAATTCAAAGCCCCTATGATGTGACATATTTGCAATCTCCTTCTTAAATTTCCAGGCAATTTTACTGTTATTATTTCATCTTTATTGCTGTGGCTCAAATCCATCAAAAGAGAAAAGCGATTAAGGACTGAGAACAAAGGCCAGCTTCTCAGCTGTAATCTTCCCAAAGTAGCTACTAAAGTCCCTATGACAGCAAAGCTGAAAACCATCCACTGCAGTTTTAAATTTCACCTTTTAAATAACAAGCAATGATTACAGAACCATCAGGAAACTAACACCTTGGAGAAGAAATAACTATCAGTTCCTCCAATTTAATCTAAAGAAATCACAGCTCCTGCAGAGGAATGAAAAGGCCTCTC